TCTATAACCTAGCAGAGGGGGCGATATCAAGCGTTTTAAATGTTCAGCGTTGATGTCTATGACCTAGCAGAGGGCTATATCGAGCATTTCAGATGGTCAGAGGTGAGGTCTGTGACCTACCTAGCAGAGGGTGATACCGAGCATTTCAGATGGTCAGAGGTGATGTCTATGACCTAGCAGAGGGTGATACCGAGCATTTCAGAAGGTCAGAGGTGATGTCTATGACCTAGCAGAGGGTGATACCGAGCATTTCAGATGGTCAAAGGTGATGTCTATGACCTAGCAGAGGGCTATATCGAGCATTTCAGAAGGTCAGAGGCGATGTCTATGACCTAGCAGAGGGTGATACCGAGCATTTCAGATGGTCAGAGGTGATGTCTATGACCTAGCAGAGGGCCGAGCATTTCAGATGGTCAGAAGTGATGTTTATGACCTAGCAGAAGGTGACAATGAGCATTTCAGATGTTCAGAGGTGCTCAGCTAAGTACAGACCTTCCGGCAGAAGAAAACCTACCCGCCAGTGGACCACATCCTTTCCTCTGCTATGATGAAGAATGAAGAACCAGAATTACCAAATAAGCACCATTCTCAGCCATATAAAGTGCTTGGACAATGCATCACATTCTTAAAAATGTCTTAAAAATAAAGGAAACGCTACAAGCAACCAGATGTCATTTTCCAGTAAAGATAAAAGTGGACCTATCAGTAACTCTACAAGTCTGCATTTCTGACATGTCACAGTATACAGCAGGGGGTAGCCAAACTTTGGCCCTCCAGCTGTTGTGGAACTACAAGTCCCATGAGGCATTGTAAGACTCTCAGAGGCAGAGGGATGGTAGGATTTGTAATTTCACCACAGCTGGAGGGCCAATGTTTGGCTACCCCGGTATACAGGCTACAGTCTAGAAAGTCTATGCCGACCCTGCATGATGCCTGAACAGCAATGGTTCTGTTCTTCTAGAGCCAAAGTCTTATGAAGGCAGGGGAAGTACTGTGAATGCTGTGAGTGGTAATAAATACACTGACACCTATCTTAGAACTTAAAAACATAAAATATGTCTGATGCCGGGTCCACTTTAAATAATACCAGAACGGATCGGACTGCTTGCTTCGTGTAATAAAGACCATTTCCTTCAGACACTTAATAAACAATACCCAAGGTGTCACGTAAAAGGCCGTAATGTTGATGGCATAGATTTTTCTACTAGGCCTCCTCATCCCATTGTGCAGATAACGTGATCAGACAGCTACATCGTAAATAGGTACGGCGGTGTGAAAGCCAAGAAAAATCTATCGTATCTCTTTTTTTTTGCCTTCCCTCTATGAGCTTTAAATGAGAGTTAATGAGGAAAGAAAGACTGTAATGTGCCCACAGCGATACTCTGTATAGATCACGCTACGACTTGAGCCACTCAATGTATGCTTACATTAAAGCACACGGTGAAGTCAGATCAATTGCTGGCTAATTAGACCAATCGTAGGAAGACTTTCCCTGACCCCGAGCATGACTGCGCCGCGACCTTACGGTGATTTTTCCAGCTCGCTCTCTCCATCTGTACTGTACGGCCGGCGGTGGATGACATTTATCCAGCGGCTGGAAGGGGCGACTTCCTCACTAATTGATGAGGGGTCTGATCAACGGAATCTCGAGGTTTCCACTCGCGACAAAGAAGAGTACGGAGGATGCCAGAACTAAAGCTAAAACACTTCAACTTTTCTACTAATTTAAGGAAAAACTATGAATTAAAAGCAAGATTAAACCCTCCTATTTTTATATTTCCTATATGGATGCCCACCTTTGCCTGAGGCTATTGTTGTTTTTCTTTAAAATCTTTTAATTCCTCGTTTTCAAGTGGGTCCCCGCAGTGTTCTTCCCACCGCCCCCTGTGCGGGTGCCTCCATTGTCTAATGGAGGTACCCGTGTGCGCAGTGGCTGTGTGCGTCCATAGACACACACAGCCCTGTGGCAGGCCACTCCCCTTCTCTCTTTGATTGATGGAAGAACTGGCCTATGGCTCCTCTGCCATCAGTATCCTCCCCCTGCAACCAGGAAGTACAGGGAACGGAGGATCACTTCGGGAACAGATGCGGGGACGAGCGTCGCTGACAGGTAAGTGTGGGGGGCACTGGGGGAGAAAAAGGTGATGGGCGGTTTTTACTGGAATGCAGAGAATGCAATAAGGTAAAAACCGCCCAGACCTTAATACTACTTTAACTATTTTATGGGACCCAAATTTTTCCCGCGAGCACCATTTCATGCTTTTATGTACTGATTTGTCATCAGCATATATGGGTCACCCCGGAGGGTGGGGCTTAACGCCAGCGGTGCGGCCCACCATTGTGTGCCAACAGTTTCCTGATACGGTTTAAGATCAAGATTCGCTGGGATGGACTCCCGATCACGTGACCAGTGTGACAGCCAATCACATAATTGATAAGCTGACCTTCCCTCTTTCAGAGCCCACTAAATGGCCAGTGGAGCCGGCACCAAGAGGTTAAAGCTGAACTCCAGGCAAACAGCAGAATACACAAATAGGTGCTGTGGTACCGGCCAAAGGATTTGTACTTCTGTCCATCCTGTCCTTAAATTTGCCACACAGCATAGTCCTGTCTGCCAGGACAGGAGACCTGATTTCTCTCTGCTGCTGTAAGGTAACACTTACAGGTCTTGTCCCTCCCTCATCCCGAGAATAGACCGTGAAAGGAGAAGCAGCACACTGATGAGCTCATGTATGTGTCACTCTGCACTCTCCTCCTATCAATAGGTTCCATGTTAGCCTATGTGCGCTGCAGTATAACGGACTGGATCTTTGTGCTGTTTCTCCCCCTTCCATTCTGAGCTCTGCGGTACAGGAGGAGATTTTAAAAGGCTGATATCAAGCCAAATTCATTTACTTATAATGATTGCATGCAAAGAGGACCTTTACAAATATCTTTAAATAACAACAAACACACCTTTAGAAATGTTTAGTAATGACAATCTACAAACAGACACTTCTAGATAATTGCCGGCTTTGTATTCTTTGCATTCCTTATTTCTCTTTTCTTCTCCAGTCTTCTGACAGTGGCCATGTTTACTAAAGGCAGATTACTAGCTCTCCTTTTACTTCCTGTATTTCTGGCACATGTGACTAGGACATGTGACCATGCACATCATCTCAGGGGAGAAAAATGCCTTTCCCTGAAATCTCCTGAGAATTCCCAGCAATGCTCTGCTGATGACAAGGCAATCCCAGCGTGCATTGCTTTGCCAAACTGAAGTCATTTTGCCCTTTCAAAGCAGGAAGTAAATGCTCTGCAGGTGTAAGTATTTCACAATCACAGCATTTTACACCTGGCATGTTATTATTAATCATCATACATAGAGGGATGCATTGGTAGAATTTGATTTTTGAGTTTAAAGGTCTGCTTTAAAACAATAAATATAATGATGTAATAATAAATACAGTGAAGCATTAAGTGGTTTCATTTAACTGGAAAAAAAATACAGCTTAAAGATCAGAATGATCCTTGATGTCCTACCACCACCTCACAACTAGGGATGCACCGATATATCGGCCGAAAATGGCACTTTTGGATAAATGCCGAAAGTGCAATTTTCCTGCCGATACAGCAGCGCATCCCTGCTTTCTTCCCTCCCCGCTGGGCGCTGCTCTGTGTCCCAGCAGGGAGGAGAGAAAGTGTGACAGCCGGCCGAGAGCTGTGGGAGGAGAGTGCTCTGAGCGGCCGGCGTCTCTCCTACCACACTGCTCAGCCTCCTATCACAGTCCGGCAGAGCGGTGTGTGGGCGGAGACATGCCGCGCTGTCACAGGAGGCTGAGCTCTGCTCCCTGGTCCGCTCACTCAGCCTCCTGTGACAGCGCGGCAGGACGGAGAGCGGTACAAGCACTCGCTGCGTGTTTGTAGATAATTGAGGACATAGCCTGTTGAATATATCCTCAATTATGAATATATAGAATGAATAGGAAGTGATCTACATCACCTCCTGTTCATTCATAATTGTGGTCATAGTAAATACACAATGTTCTCATGTTATCAATGAACAGGAACACTCAGTACAGAGGATTCCTGTTCATTGATAACAGGGGCTGCAGAAAAAGAGATTGAGGACTCCGTGTTCTCAATCTCTTTTTCCATTTTAAAAAGGAAATATCAGGGGGCTGTTTAGGCCTCTAATATTTCCCCCGAAGCCCCTAAGAGTAAAGTAAAAAAAATAAAAATATTTACTAAAAAATGAATTTATCAATGAACAGGAACACTCAGTACAGAGGATTCCTGTTCATTGATAACAGGGGCTGCAGAAAAAGAGATTGAGGACTCCGTGTTCTCAATCTCTTTTTCCATTTTAAAAGGGAAATATCAGGGGGCTGTTTAGACCTCTAATATGTCCCCCGAAGCCCCTAAGAGTAAAGTAAAAAAAATAAAAATATTTACTAAAAAATGAATTCATATATACAAATATAAAAAATTACAAAGTTTATAAAAAATAAATTAAAATTAAAAAACATTTTTTGTTCCGGCCTAACAATTTTTTTAAATTTCGGTTCGGTTTTGAAATTTCCATTTCGGTGCACCTCTACTCACAACGGGTTTAGGCAGCAGCTATAAAAAAACAATTACATGGGCACTACATATCAGATAAAAGAAACATCTATATTTCCCCACATCAACCACTATTTCTGCAAGGATCAGACAGTTCAAAAGACACCAATTGGCTGCAATCAGCGAGGCCACTATTTTTCTGCAAGAGTCTATTGAATGATTAAGCCCATTATTACTACATTTTAGCATAACGACTAACTGGCAAACGTCCCTCATTACCTCCTTTTCCCTTTGTCGGTAAGTGTGAATCATTTACCATCAGGGGGTCCTGAGCTCCCCGTGGAGCAGTAGTGTAAACACACACCACTCGTAGCCATAACAACACACTACAAGGCGGATTAAGCATTCATTAACCAACGTTTTCTTAACGGCCGAGACCTAAAAGGGGCATTTTGTACCTTTCCTCTTCAGAAAGTCCTTCCGGGTGGCGACAGGGCTCTGGCGTACTCGGGAGTTCTGCAGAAATTTCACCGCAGTAGCAATCTGAAAAGAGAAAAGGTAAACATTTGTCAGGAACATTACACATACTTGCGGGATAAAAAAGACACACACAAGAAAAAATTCTTACATTTATCTTATGTGCATATCCATTTTTTATATTTCACTACACTTTATTTTACCTCTTTTTGACCCTTTTTTCCAAGTTAACGTTATTTACAAGGGGGGGAAGGTGCCACCTATGTGAGCGCATACTTGTCCTTCCATCAGGAAGTTTCATAACTCTACGAAGGACTCTTAAAAGGAGAACTATGAGGGGGGGTGCTTTTCACTCACCTCATAGTTCTAGCCGACCTGTGACAATGAGACTGTCACAGGTCGGCTCAGTAGATCGGGAGGTGAGCGAACACATACCGGCATTCGCTCACCTCTTGATCCGGTCACGGCTTTCTGCCGTGACAGGGGAGGGGCTGGATTTCCCCCTCCCCGCCCTGCCAGAGCCGCCTGGCGGTACAGACGGGGAGGGGGCGGGTACAGCTGGCTCTGCCTCTAGATAGGCAGAGCCAGCTGTCACTCACGCAGCTGGGCGGATACAGACATAATTGTCGGGATCCGCTTCAGCTGCGTCTCATAGCAGCAGCTCGCGGTATACTGAGCTTAGGGTGACGGGAGGACGCTAGTTTGTGTCCTCCCGTTACCCTAAAAAGAACTATGGGGAAAAGCCCTGACCCCATAGTTCTCCTTTAAGCTGACCACACAAGCACTTTGTAGAATGGTAGAAGAAAAGGGGAAAACAACTCTGACCAAAATCATCCGAAACATATGTAGACTCAACTTTTGCTGGAGATCCACTCCAGACCCCAAATATATGATAAATGTCACCAGCACACCTATGTCTTGTGTCAATAATCCATCTTCTTTATTGCTGCAGACGGTCACAAAACAACGTTTCAGGGCCACACAGGGTTCCCATCATCAGGTTTTAGACCCCATTCACAGGTTTTTCAGAGCTAATTTCAGCAGAGCGACTTTGAGCTACAGTGCACATTTTGACGCGCTACGCAGCGCTTCTTTTGGCATTGTACCACAGAGACCTTGTAGCTGCTACGTTGGGCTGTATCCAATCAAAAGCGGTCTTTGATGTGACATAATTCCTCTTCCTGCTATTGTGGAGAGTGTAATTTCGGGGCAAAAGTGACACTTGTGTAGCGCAACATCGCGCTACAATGCCGGTAATGAGCGACATTGAGCTACACCGTTGAAGTCTATTGTCTCACTTATTTAATGGGTAGCATCCATGTGCTCCATATGATTTGAATAAGTTCAAATTCCATAACCAGAGTTTGTCTTTGTCATTCCCGTGTCTAACTGTCTTCCTTCCGTTTTGTTCCAATCCTTCATATTTGTCTTATATTATTGGACATGAGTGTTCTTATGTCATACATGCCTTTTTCGAATCATTGTTCGATAATCTTTGAATATCTTTATGTGATTTATGTTCATTTTTTTCGTTTAAATTAATAAAACTACAAATCGCGTCTTAAACAGCAACCCTCGGTATTATCAAACAGTAAACTGCTAATGCTATATACGCGTTATCTACTGTATGCCGATTCGCAGGGGTGTGGAATTCCTATCGCCCGACACATGCAGTTTCTTCGTCTGCGCTGTGTGATCACTGAGACCGGAGCGTTGTAATCACAGCGCCACCTGCCTCAGCTGTCAGGAACTGCACAGAACATCTGTTCTGTGTTGGAGGGCGGGTTCTATACAGAGAACCTGTCACCTTCAAACTATCACATAGTCAGCTCAAACTATGAGGTTGAGTGAAAATCACTCACCTCATAGTTCTCCTTTAAGTGGGAAAAAAAAAAAAGTAAAAAATAATAAATACAAGTTTTGTTTAAAACTTGCGAGTTTGGCCCTGCATTGAGACAGATTCCCGTCACTACTCTTTCCAAAACAAACAAAAAAGTATATATACACTATATATTTTTGATTATTTACTGTGTGTCGCGAGGCCCCAAAAGTACTTGCTATTGAATGACATTGGTTGTCATTAAAATGGATATTTGTTGAACACAAAAAAAAAATTACTGTGTGACGTTGATCCTTCAGACGAAGAGTCAACTGAAGTCTGATCCTGGATGGTCAATTTCCTAATTTCACGCACTTTCTCCCTGGTCCTAACATGAAATATGAAAGCACAGAGCCTTGTAGCTGAGAGTAACAACCGCAAGCTCCCTTATTGGATATGGTTTGTATGTCTAGATGTACGCCTATTGAACTGCAGCGTGTCAGGTCAAGTAGTTGACAAGACATCAACTTCCTGTAACCTCTGACCTCTGTTTCTTATGCTGCCAAGAGTCCGAATCAAGCCAAGTTAACTAAACTTTGCTTTTCAATCGGCACACTTCTCACAGTTTACTATGGCGCACTCATACTCATGCATAGATCCCGTAGTGATGGGTTGTCTCCAAAAGGACCTTGGAGAGAAAACGGTTACAACATACCTTGGCATCCGACTGCTGCCCAGGGTCCATCATGACCCCCGCCCCGCGTGCGTGGCCCTTGCCTTAACATCTCTTGTTTCCCTAAATACTCTAATCGTGGCAAACGTAGGCACAACGGATCCATCGGACAACGCAATAAAACAGGAAATTACCGCCATCCAACACAGATCCCGAGCAGCTAAGTACATCAGAGCAGGTGTATGTCAAATGATTAGTTATTACACCTGTGGTGGAGCTGATTCAATTGGGAAATACGTTCAGTAATAGGTTAAAAGGTTCGGATGGGGCACATTACTCTCAAAGTGCCTGCAGTGAGGGGATGATTGAGCTAGATGTCATTAGTAATTCATTTAAGGGAAAACAGGAGAAGGAGCAAGTGACTGAAAGCAATTTAGATGTCAGGTAGAAGGAGGGAAGGCATCTTAAAAAAGCATGATAAGTGAATTTACATGCGAGCGGGAAGGAAGCCGCGAGGAGACTATGAAGCGACGGAAAGAAGTATGAAAAGGAGAGCGGAGAATCTTAAAGCAGAACTCCAGGAAAACGAGAAACATCTAAAATGGAACTTTTAACTGTGCTTCAAAAACAATTAAACACATTCACACGACTTTTATTCACAGGCTGTGGCGGTTAAATAAAAGAAAAAGAAACAACTACGCTTTTATTATAGTCATTCATAATTGAGGCTATAGTAACCATACTCTGTCCTCAGTTATGTACAAACACTCAGCGATCACTGACTGCTTGTACCGCTCTCCTTCCTGACTCGCTGTCACAGGAGGCTGGGCGAGCGGAGCAGGGAGGAGAGCTCAGCCTCATGTGACAGTGACCGCTCTCCTCTGATCTGCGACAGGAGGCTGAGCGGTGTGGGAGGAGAGACACCGGCCGCTAGCAGTACTCGGCCGCCTGTGACAGTTTCTCTCCTCACCGCTGGGACACAGAGCAGCGCAGAGGAGAGAATAGGATGCACCGCTGTATCGGCCAGAAAATGGCACTTTCGGCATTTAGCCAAAAGTGCCATTTGCGGCCAATAAGTTTCGGCGGCCGATATATTGGTACGTCCATAGTAAATTTGTATGTGCAGTGTCGGCATCCCTTTAGTAGTAATTAACCCTTAGAGTGTATCTCACTAAAAATGAAAATCCTATTGCAAGGGATGACAAAATTATACTTGTAGATTTCTGGGAAAATCAGTCAATCGCAGAAGCAGAAAGTGACATTTCTGGGGAAGTTCCATACACCAACTGTGTACGGAAACGCCTCCAGGTCGCCATATTGCATTACATTTTTTGGACAGATTTAGATCATTACGGCAGCTAAAAGGTAATTTTTAATAACATTAAATTACAAAATGGTTGGTGCAACAATTATATACGCTATATTCATTTTTTTTTAAGATTCTTTTTCATATTATATATTTTATATACAGTGGAGTTACCCTTTAAGTCTACCAGCAACCGTCCGAAACTGACACGATCGTTTTTTTAAAAAGGACTGACATTTCAACACTACAGACCGCTTTCAACCATCCGCAGAGTCTGTTGGACTGCTGCGGCGGGATTATTTGAGCAGGGAAGGGTAATGTCTGATGTGAGAGGATACGCATTAACCTCAGACGCAGACCGAGGTCAAAAGCTATGACAATAGATGCAGGAAACAATTAGCAAGACGCAGGGGTTTGGACAGTTACACTGGGGACGCCGCAGAGAAGGGAAGCTATATATATTTCAGGCTCTAGATTAAGTCAGGCACGCACGCAGCAAAGGGGGTGCACGTGTATATATATTTAAAAAAAACGTTAATGAGAGCCTTTTGGGCCCCACCGCCTCGAACGCCGAGAGACATTAAGGGATGGAGCCAGCAGCCGCAGAGCAAAGTTTTAGCAAGAAATCAGGTCTGTGTCAAAACTGAAGTGACAAATTTGGTCATCGGTGGCACAAGGAAATGGCTGCACAGCGGCCGTTAATCAGAGGCAGCCATCACACACTGCTGATGCCAGCACTCAGGGAGAAAAGCAGGAGGCTAATTATGAGGCTGTATATCTCGCTAAAGACGCCTGGCTCAGGCTACATCATGCCAGCAGCGGCAGCCAGGTACGGGGAGAGCCTGCGATACTCGGCGTTCTCGGCCTTTCTGCAAACTAGACGTCGCGGCCGGAAGATGGTTCGGCAAGGACAGAGAAATGCCGCCTGGCAAAAGATTAAAACTAAACAGATTTTGAGGTGAATGGAGCTGAAAACGTCCTCCGTTCAATCTCCTGTCCATCAATGATCTCCATGTCAGATGATGTAGAAGCGGGATTTGAAACTTTGCAAACAGAGCAACGGTAAAAATGATTTACCAATTACAAAATGTCCAATCTGCTCATAGTATGTTCTAGGATTGGATAGCTTAAAGCTGAACTCCGGGCACAGAAAAGGCCTTACCTTGTAAAAAAGATATTGCCTTGTAAAAGTGATATCACCAATGTGCTGTACATACCCTGTGCAGAGAGCAGAGCCGTGGGACGGACCCAGTAGGCCCCACTCACTA